CTCTCAAACCTTGCCGGCCAGTGCAGCGCCGCCCCTGGGGGTCTCCGGGGTGGTCAGGCTTTAGGGGACCGGACAGCCTCATCATGACGGTGGGTTTGAACCACCGACCTGCAGGGCAGCAGCCCAGGGCCTCACAGAGCCCCCGCCCCAGGGCGATGGGTGTGCTTTGCAGCTGCGACTCAAGGGACACAGCGTGTTGTCTGGGAGTCTGGGGGGAGCCAGCGGGTGGGCGACAGGCTCAGCTGCTCACGGAAAGGTGGGAGGTTCTAATCCACCCAGAGGCGGCCCGGAAGACAAGCCGGGAAAGGCTCTGAGAGTCAGCTGCAGGGAGACAGCGGGCGCAGTGCCACGCAGAGCCACTGGGGCGCCACGCGCGGGAACAGACTCCGTGGCACGTGGTTTGGCTTGAGTGTCAGTCTGTGTGTTTGCATGTGTGTGTGTGTGTTTGCATGTGTGTGTGTGTGTTTGCATGTGTGTGTGTTTGCATGTGTGTCTGTGTTTGCATGTGTGTGTGTTTGCATGTGAGTCTGTGTTTGCATGTGCGTCTGTGTTTGCATGTGTGTCTGTGTTTGCATGTGTCTGTGTTTGCATGTGTGTCTGTGTTTGCATGTGCCGGTGTACGTGGGTCTGATGTATTAGTGTCTGTAGTCTGTGTATATTTGTCTGTGTTTGCATATGCGTGTCCGTCTGTTTTTTTTTGGGGGGGGTCTGTCTGTGTCCACGTGTGTGTGGGTCTGTGTATCTGTCTGTTTCTATGCATGCTCCCTTTCGGGACTGCACTCTGGATTTTTCCATGTGAATTAAGGACAGCCGGGGGTACAGCCCTGCAGGGGACCCCAGAGGCACATGCCCCCTCCCCACCCCACCCGCTCAGCTAATCTGATCCTGGGGATGGTGGGGACCCCTGATGCTCCTCCCTGACCCAGGGGTCTCAGACCCCCCCTCACCTGATGGGATGGGACCATGAATGCTGGGCGTTTGGCTTTTCAGTGACACCCAGCCCGGGCTTAACCTGGGGAGGGGGCACTGACATGCCGGGGCAAAGCTGGGTGCCCTGCCCCCCAAGTCTCCCGGTAAAGACAGCTCCTCCGTGACAATGATGCGGTTGTTCATTGCCAGCCCATGCGGGCCAGGACGCTGGGACGGGAGATGGGGGGGTAGTGGGAGCATTTTCCTTGGGACAAGGGGGTGGGGGGGCAGCTTCCTGCCGCTCTGAGATGCCCAACAGCCCCCCTGCCCTGCCCCATACCTATGATCCCCGTCCTGTAGCCTTGCAGGTGCAGCAGCCGGGCGAAGGTGGTCTCGTTAGGAGGGAGTCCGCCTGAGCCTGCGTTCCATTGCAGCGCCCGGTACCCGCCACTGGCATCCATGCCTAGGGAAGGTCGTGGGGAGGGGAGAGGTCAGGCTTGCCTTACCTTCCTGCCTCGGACCCTGGCCCCACAGGGGGCCCTAGCGTCTCAGGGTCTGGGTGGGGGTGATCCTGGCATCCAGCAGGTGGGATTTCTGTGAGACGGTGCAGTGGGTGGGAGCCTCAGAAATATGGGGGGGAAGGGGAGGACTGAGGGGAGGAGGAGGGGTTGGCATCAGAGATCCAGCCCATTGGCTGTATAAAAAGTAAATGCCGACTCACAGCAACCCTGCAGGACAGGGCGGAGCTGCCCCTGGGGGTCTCCCAGGCGGTCAGTCTGCACGGGAGCAGACAGTCTGGTCTTTCTCCTGAGGAGCTAATGGACAGATAGATAGATAGGTAGGTAGATAGATAGGTGATAGATAGATAGATAGATAGATAGATAGATA